AAAAAAAAAAAAAAAAAAAGAATAGATTTCCAAAAGTGGAATTATTCAGTTAAAAAGTATAAATAGTTCACGCTCCTTGATACATACACATTGTCAAATTGCTCTCCAAAGGGTTCTACCAGTTTACACTGCCATTTGAAATGTATGAGAATGTTATGATTCTCCTAAGTACAAATAAAATAGTAGCTGAACCCAAAGAATGAGTAGGCTAAAACTCTAAATTAATAAAAAACTATTGGCTCTGCCTGTGGCTCAAGCGGCTAAGGCGCCAGCCACATACACCTAAGGTGGTGGGTTCGAATCCAGCCCGCGCCCGCCAAACAATAATGGCTGCAACCAAAATATAGCCGGGCTTTGTGGCGGATGCCTGTGGTCCCAGCTACTTGGGAGGCTGAGGCAGGAGACTTGCTTGAGCCCAGGAGTTGGAGGTTTCTGTGAGTAGTGAAGCCATGGCACTCTACCCAGGAGGACAGCTTGAGGCTCTATCTGAAAAAAAAAAAAAAAATTTAAATAAATTAAAAACTATTGAAATATTAGGGAGTGTAGAATCTGTTCACATGTTTATTATAAGTTATTTGCTTAGAAGTGTATACTGCTTGGTTACTCGGCTTCATGAATTGTCTAGGTCTTGCTATATTGGACAGATATCCTTTGTGATTGATAAAGCCCAGTGGACAGAAAGCAAAATACTTTTGAAGTATTTTGACTACTTCAGGGATTCTTTACATTAATTACTTTATCAGTATTTCTTTGCCGGTTGGGAAACCTCTATCTTTTACTTCTGCCTCACTTGGCTTCAGGTGGTTGCTGATGAATACTACCAGACATTACAAGTACTAGGTGAGGTGGGAAACTTTGTAGGCTTGTTTTGATTATTCATACTGACTTTTTTTCCCCCTGAAGATTCTGAAGACAATCCCCAAACATTGCTTTTTTCTGCAACTTGCCCTCATTGGGTATTTAATGTTGCTAAGAAATACATGAAACCTACATACGAACAAGTGGACCTAATCGGTAAAAAGACACAGAAAACAGCAATAACTGTGGAGGTAAATGGTTTATTTAGTTGCTGGATTCAGTGTAAAATTGTATATCTTTATATGACAGTACTAAGACTGTCACATTCACCCTTTATTCCAGATAAATGCTGAATCCATGTGAAAAGCCAAGTAAAAATACATGTCTGTTTGAGTTGTATGTGATACTGTGTTTCCTAAATTTCATCATCTGGTAGACTGATTTTATTTTATAAGCATTTGGAACCTAAATCTGTGTGAAATATTTAAACCGAAAGAAATCACACTTAGAATTTAAACACTAGCTGGCAGCTCAGAAATTTATTGCTTTGTGTTGAAGCTGTTTCCATCTCAGGTCTGATACCTAGAGAACATCATTTCATCTGAAGAACAGACCTGTATAGTTACTGACTACAGATTGCATTTTTAATTGGATGAAAGGACAAAACATGCAGAAATTTGTCAGTTACTTGGTTTCCTATAGAATCTGGAAAATGACATTTCCTTTCCTACATTTTCCTGGTTAAGTCAGAAAATAGACGAAGCCAGATGCTTTCTGGATGAAGGGAAGAAGCACTTGGGAACAGACCATATGGCTTTCTGCTTTAATGGTTTATTTAGTGTTTTATTTTTTTATTCTCTCTGAGCAATGGTGACAGCATATAGCATAATGCTGCCAGGCTACAGCAGTTATTTCCTTTAGTAAGACATTAGACTGTTAGTGTTGAGCAGATGATTTCAGGTTCCATCACGATTTTACTAAGTAGATGTTTTTTCTTTCTCTCTTACAAGCATCTGGCTATCAAGTGCCACTGGACTCAGAGGGCAGCAGTGATTGGGGATGTGATCCGAGTCTATAGTGGTCATCAAGGACGCACTATTATCTTCTGTGAAACCAAGAAAGACGCCCAGGAGCTGTCACAGAATACGGCTATTAAGCAGGTTGGTCTTTCCTCTCATGCCTACAAAGCTGGGAGTATCAACAGATCTTCTTGGACATAATTATTTTCAGTTACAAATGAGAGGAAGTTTCATTTGATTAATGGTCAGAATACACATTTAGATTTCAATCTGTCATGATGTCTTATCTCACAGATGAGGAAATGGTAGCTCAAACCTAAGGTTATACTGACAAAGTAAATTTGATCACTCATCTGATATTTTCAAATTCAGTAGGTATAATTGGCTACAGATGGATTTAAAGACAAAGGACTTGGAAATAATTTTGAGGCTTATCTGTTAAAGGTGCATATTTTCCATTTTGCAATATTTTTGTCAAGAGTATCACCGAAATATGAGTATCTTTTACAGGCCTAATTGATGACCAAAAAAGCACTTTTGCTGTTGGATCTGGTGTCTTAGGTTAGTTTGTTTATTTGACAGGATGCGCAGTCATTACATGGAGACATCCCACAGAAGCAAAGGGAAATTACCCTGAAAGGTTTTAGAAATGGAGCTTTTGGAGTTTTGGTGGCAACCAATGTTGCTGCACGTGGGTTAGACATCCCTGAGGTTGATTTGGTTGTGCAAAGCTGTCCACCAAAGGTATGTGTTTTATGCTTAGATTTTATTTTGTTCTGTTTCTTTTTGGTATTAAAACAAATTGGAGATGGTATTATTTATTTGCAGTAATACCTGCCTCTAAAATGCTGGGATGCTAAGGGTGATTTTTAAAATCCACATAATTATAATGATAAAAATTATAATTCTCAGCTAGGTGCAGTGGCTCATGCCTGTAATCCTAGCACTCTGGGAAGCTGAGTTGGGTGGATTGCCTGAGCTCATAAGTTCAAGGTAGCCTGAGCCAGAGCGAGACCCTGTCTGTTAAAATAGCTAGGCGTGTGGCGGATCCCTGTAGTCTCAGCTACTTGGGAGGCTGAGGCAAGAGAATTGCTTGAGCCTAAGACTTTGAGGTTGCTGTGAGCTGTGAGGCCACAGCACTCTATCAAGGTCAACAAAGTAAGACTCTCATCTCAAAAATAATAATAATAATTCCCAGCACTGACAGTTAAGTAGAAGTACATTTGGTGGCCAGAGATTAGAAAGATGGTCATGGGAACTAGTAGAATTTTGAGCCAAACCTTGAAGATGGGTATGAGGATTTAGGTGGGATAGGGGTAAGATAACTGCATGACCTAGTTGGACAAAAGAGAGACCTGTAATTAACAAGTTCTTTTGAAGGATAACTTCAGGGGTGTGGGGACTACTTTTGTGGTTAGAAATGCTTAGATTCATGGGTTATGGTAACTTCATGCAGGGGGCCTGAAGCATACTTAAGATGATATGGATAGTCCTTCATATAAACAAATGTTGTTTTAGAGGAGCCTATTCAATCACTTCTAACATGAAGGCCTTACAGCCTTCCCCCAAACTGGCAAATCTCTCACAATTAAACATTGCTTACAACAATAGGATAAAATACCTGACTATTGAATTCACCAGTTCTTTTGCCGTGGGGTCTCACTGTGTTCCCTGTGTTCCTAGACTAAAGAGTGCAGTAGCGTGATCATAGCTCACTGTTACCTCAAACTTCTGGGTTCCAGTGATTCTACTACCTCAGCGTCTCAGGTAGCTGAGACTACTGGCCTGTATGTGCCACCACACCTAGGTAATTTTTATTTTTTATTTTTGTAGTGCTGAGGTCTTGCTATGTCCCAGGCTAGTCTTAAACTCCCAGCCTTAATTGATCTTTCTATCTTGGCCTCCTAAGTGTTAGATTTCAGGTGTGAGCCTCCGCCCTGGCTAATACCACCAACTCTTTATTTATTTATTTATTTATTTATTTATTTTGAGACAGAGCCTCAAGCTGTCCCCCTGGGCAGAGTGCTGTGGCATTACAGCTCACAGCAACCTCCAACTCCTGGGCTCAAGCGAGTCTCCTGCCTCCGCCTCCCAAGTAGCTGGGACCACAG